AGGGGTGACGCAATAGCGTCCAGGCGGAGGAATTCCTGGTGCTGGTTGGCAATGGTAGTGGCAATGGGGGGAGTTTCCTGATTAACTACCCCCGATTTTATCTGGGAACCATCGGCCAAAAAGATGTTGAAGCCCTTCTGTCTGTGTTGGAGAGGGATACCCTGCTGGTGAGCAAAATCTAAATCCAGGAAACAGCTGCATGCCCCCGAATCAACTATGGCTGTCACCTCCACAGTCCTTTCTGGAAGCTGAAAGGAGAGGGGCACTACTAAGTATTGCGAAGGACAGGTATTGCTAATAGACAAGGAAGAAGAACGGGTGCACTTACTCATTTTCAGTGGGCAGGATCGCACCATATGACCAGCTTCACCGCAGTAAAGGCAGAGGTTCTGGGCTCGTCTGCGCTGGCGTTCCTCCGTGGTAATTTAGGCCGCGCCAGGCCTAGCTGCATAGGTTCCGGAACGTCTCTCCTGGTGGTGGATTCTGGATGCTTTGTCGGGTTGATTGGCTGGGGCCTAGGAATGGACCCCAGGTATTTCCGCGACCCTGGCCGGACCTCTCGAGCCTGCGTTCCCGCAGTCTTCGGGTCAATTTTAATTGTCAGGGCAATAAGGTCTTCTAGAGACTCGGGAACCTCCACCCGGGCCAGCTCATCTTTCAAGGGATCGGAGAGCCCCATACGGAACTGGTGCAACAGAGCAAACTCGTTCCAGCGTGTGTCCCCCATCCACCGCCTGAAATCAGAGGCGTATTCCTCTGCCGCCCGCCGGCCCTGTCGGAGCGCATATAAGGTCGCTTCGGCAGAGGCTGCCCGCTGTGGGTCATCATACAAGATGGCCATTGCTTCAAAAAAACTATTGACCGATCCCAGATGAGGATCATTGTTTCCCCTTAACCGGTGGGCCCAATCCTGGGGTTCACCCTGCAATAGTGAAATGATGAATCCTACTTTCACATTTTCGGTCAGAAAGGATCGGGGTTGTAGCTCAAAGAACAAGAGACAGGAATCACGGAATGACCGGAAGCGTGTGCGGTCCCCGTGAAAACGCTCCGGTAAGGGTACTCGGGGTTCCGCCATAGGGAGCGGGGCGGAAGCCCCTGAGACTGGCTCCTGAGCTACCAGGGCCGGGGGTGCAGAAACCAGGGCCTGTGGGGCAGGGTCAGAAATAGAGCAAGTCTGGAAGCGATTCTCCAGCTGCATACATCTGTCCTGCAGGGCCGTTACGGCCTGCGTCAAATTAGCTAGGTGCCTGCAAATTTCCTCTAGCGGGGAGGGACCTCCTCTAGGCTCAGTCATGGCCTTCTGGTACTGTAAGGGACTGCCCGGCGGTACCACTAGCACTCCACTGATCGGACGTTCCCAGCGTACGGAGTCTAAGCCCCAGAGTACTTGTTCACCAGGGCCCCTGATGGTGGGGATGGACTTGGAGTACCCTGGGACCAGGTCGTGACTACTGAGGACACCCGTCAGTGGGTAGGGGTATTCGCCAGGGGCTCCCATGGGAGAGAGCCAGGTATGAGGAGGTCTGGAGACCCCGTTGAGAGGGATGGATGGATGGCTGAGCAAGTGCAAGGTCATACAAGCCGGGTCGGTAACTATGGGGATGGTGCGGTACAGAGCAGCGGGCAAAGAATAGTCGGGTCACACGCCAGTTCAGCAACAGCAGGTCAGATCCAATAGGGGGCATTCAGGAGAGAGGTCAGGCAAGCAAGGGTCAAGAACAGGAGAAAACAGCAAGGTCAGGGCACAATCCGGGTCAGCAACTTACTTCCACAGGTTCACAGGTACACAGGATTCAAAGAGACCAGAAGGCACTGAATGACAGCTCAGGGCCGTTTAAATATCCCGCCCTGCGCTGTCATTGGTGCCAGGCGTGCGCCCCGTGGTCTCTACTGCGCATGCGCGAACCTGGTTGCCGCGGTCGGCCAGGTCCCGGCGCCCGCGTCCCTGCACAGGGCGGAGTACTGCGCCTGCTGCGCGAGCCCAGCGGCGTGGCGATCCCCGACAGTTGTTGTCAGTGAGGAAGGAGCTCAGGCGATTGTAGACTAAGCGTTCTAAGAGTTTAGAGGTAAACGGGAGCAGGGAGATGGGTCTTACGTTGTTCAGGTTGGTGGGGTCCAGGGAGGGCTTTTTAAGTATGGGATTGATGTATGCATGCTTTAGAGGAGATGGGAAGGCACCGTTAGAGAGGGAGAAATTGAAGATGTGAGTGAGGGAGCATAGGATGGAAGAAGAGGGTAACCGTAGTAGTTGAGAGGGGACAGGATCCAGGGGGCAGGTAGTGAGATGGGCTTCTGAGAAAACCTTAGTGACCTCTTCGGTAGTAGCAAGGTCAAAAGAGGAAAGTGTTGAGGGAGGTTTAGTATAAGGTATGCTAAGTGGGATGGATGTCTGTGTAGCGGAGATGCCCCTACGAATTGCATCAATCTTGTTTTTGAAATGATTTGCAATCTCGTAAGCAGTGAGTGAGGTACTGGGTGGAGGTTGAGAGAAAGTAGAGAGTTATAAGTGGAGAAGAGATGACGAGGAATGGATGACAAGCTATTGATGAGAGTGACAAAGTAGGCTTCTTTGGCAGCATGGAGGGAGGAATTGTATGTTAAGAAAGCAGATTTATATAGGGTGAAAGCTTGGTGAGATTTGGTTTTATGCCACAATTGCTCCAGCGCACAACTATGTTGTTTAAGATTTCTGGCGTTGTCAGTCTGCCAAGGTTGTAATGGTCGGGCCTGATGCTTCACGTTGTTAGAGGAGCAAGTAAATCTAGCGTGGATGAAAGCAAACTGTTGTAGACAGCAGTGGCCAGGTCAGGGCAGGACAGAGGAGAGATTCTGTCATAGAGGCAATCAGTTACAGAGTGGAAAGGAGCAGGGTTCAAGTTGTGAGGGTTTCTGCAGGTAATTGTTTGCTGCTTGGAGAGACAGGTGTTTGAAGATGAGGACACTGTGAAGGTGATGAGATTATGATCAGAGAGAGGAAAGGGGGTGTTTGTGAGGTTATAGGGAGTGGATCTGTGTCAGGGGCGGACTGACCATTCGAGTACTTGGGCGCTGCCCGAGGTCCCGGGGTCAGTAGGGGGCCCATGAAATGCCCCTGGTACCTTTTTTATAAGCTTTTTTGGGTGGGCAAGGACACGGGTGGATCCTCTATTGCCGGGGGGTCCCATGAGTTGTCAGTCTGCCCCTGATCTGTGTGCAACTAAGCTGATTCTCCTGCACTGAATGGGTCTTCTGACAGGTCATCCTATCCAGTATAATCAGCCAATGCCAAGGCAGTGGATCACAAGGGGAAACAAAAAGCTCTGAAGCTGCAAAGGATGTGTGGTTTATTCTGACCTGTAGGAAGAAACATGTCCCAGCTTATTCAGCTGTTTACATTTCTGGAGTGAAGAGCTGGAAAGCTTGTCTCCTGGTTGCAAGCTCAGAGCTCAATGCACAGGCAGAGAATGCTCCTGTAGGCCAGTGGGATTGCTACAAGCTGACTTATGCATTCTCTCTCCTCAAGTTGTTTTCTAGGCTGCTTGCCAGAATCAAGAATGAAGAAATCCAGTCCAACCCCTTGCCCCAAACTGTCCATGGAGATTATAGTACACAGTTCTGGTTCATCCCCTCACCCACATGCCGCTAGATCACCCAAGTTTACTATCACAAGAGCATTGGAAGGAAAGAACATGGCTCACTGAAAAGGCATGTAGAGAAACCCCCAAAGTCTCATACAATCAAAAAAAAGCTTTCCATATGCAATGATAAATCTTGGGGAAAGTATAATTAAGTATGGTTGTAACTTTAAGTATAAAATACTTTTAACAACGATTGGGATTAGAGAGTCACAATGTAAAATAAGGTTGACGTACCCCACTCTGCAGGCTAATCCAGAGCTAGGAGAATGACTGGAATGCCCTTGTTTTCGATCATTTGAAGTAGATGATGTAATTGCTTCAGGGAAAGAAAGACATACATCAGAGCATACTGATCCCACAGTGCTATCAGGGCATCTCCCATCGAATCCTTCATCCTAGAGACAAACCTGTCAAGCTTCTTGTTGGAACAAGATCCACATGCAGCATCTGCTTGCCAGCTCTCCACCCCATGAATGTTTGTCAGATATTCCCTGATCAGTCAGTACTGCAGGCTATAGCCTGCAATGCTGATCAGTGTATTCTGACAGTGGAGAAGTCTCCCCACTGTCAGAATCCAATAGCTCTGCTGAGAGGATTCTCTCATCTATTTCAAATGTGTGGTCAGAGGAATCAGGTCAGTTTTTCATTCAGCCTACTGGTTGAACAAAAATAACTGACTCGTCATGACAATTTAGAACAGTGTGCCACTGTTTTTGGTCCACTGTGACTTATGTTGATAACAGCTACAATCTGATTTCCTATATTTATCAGACTCTGTGTGAACTGTGCCTTTAGAGAATTCAACTTGTGCAACTATGAAAAAGCTAATACTCTTTTTTTTAAACATTTCAGTGTGTTCACAAATTGACTAGCTGTCAAAAATGTATGTGAATATTGACTTTGTTTTTTAACTGAAATCACAAAAAAATGTAAAAGGTTACCTTTCATTTCCTGTTTTTTCCATTTCTTTAAGGGATTGAACAAAGGCAGCCTGGCTCTCTGTAAGCATCCAGCTTTTATGTAATACTGTAGCTTGTATAATGTACTTGTGTGCCTGCAGAAATAGGAGATAACTCAAACTTTTATGTTCTTTTATGCAAGACAGAACTGCTTTCAAATTTGTGAGATTTAAAAAAAGATAAAGATAGATATATATATATTATATAAAAGTAAACATGAAGGCTGTTAATTTATCCTGACTAGTTTACTAGAACAATCCTTTAAATATGTACAGCAGGGGTCCTCAAACTTTTTAAACAGGGAGCCAGTTCACTGTCCCTCAGACCGTTGGAGGGCCGGACCACAGTTTGAAAAAAAAAAAATTATGAACAAATGCGGACAGAGTACATGAGATGACCAGAGACTGCTGACAAAGTACAGGAGATGACCAGAGACTGCGGACACAGTACATGAGATGACCAGAGACTGCTGACACAGTACATGAGATGACCAGAGACTGCGGACATAGTACAGGAGATGACCAGAGACTGCTGACACAGTACAGGAGATGACCAGAGACTGCGGACATAGTACATGAGATGACCAGAGACTGCGGACACAGTACAGGAGATGACCAGAGACTGCAGACACAGTACAGGAGATGACCAGAGACTGCAGACATAATACAGGAGATGACCAGAGACTGCGGACATAGTGCAGGGGATGACCAAAGACTGCGGACATAGTACATGAGATGACCAGAGACTGCAGACATAGTACATGAGATGACCAGAGACTACGGACGTAGTACATGAGATGACCAGAGTCTGCAGACATAGTACAAGGGATGACCAAAGACTGCGGACACAGTACAGGAGATGACCAGAGACTGCAGACATAGTACAAGAGATGACCAGAGACTGCGGACATAGTACCTGAGATGGTGCCCCATCATTAATGTCAGTGTGTGAGGAATAGTGCCCCATCATTGGTATCAGTGGGAGGAATCGTGGCCCATCATTGGTGTCAGTGGGAGGAATCGTGCCCCATCATTGGTGTCAGTGGGAGAAATCGTACCCCATCATTGGTGTCAGTGGGAGGATTGTGCTCCCATCATTGGTGTCAGTAGGAGGAATCGTGCCCCATCATTGGTGTCAGTGGGAGGAATCGTGCCTCATCATTGGTGTCAGTGGGAGGAATCTTGCCCCATCATTGGTGTCAGTGGGAGGAATCTTGCCCCATCATTGGTGTCAGTGGGAGGAATCTTGCCCCATCATTGGTGTCAGTGGGAGGAATCTTGCCCCATCATTGGTGTCAGTGGGAGGAATCTTGCCCCATCATTGGTGTCAGGGGGAGAAACAGTGCCCCATCATTGGTGTCAGGGGGAGGAAATGTGCCCCATCATTGGTGTCAGGGGGAGGAATAGTGCCCCATCATTGGTGTCAGGGGGAGGAATAGTGCCCCATCATTGGTGTCAGTGGGAGGAATAGTGCCCCATCTTTGGTGTCAGTGGGAGGAATAGTGTCCCATAATTGGTGTCAGTGGAAGGAATAGTGCCCCATCTTTGGTGTCAGTGGGAGTAAGTGCCCCATCATTGGTGTCAGTGGGAGGAATAGTGCCCCATCATTGGTGTCAGTGGGAGGAATAGTGCCCCATCAATGGTGTCAGTGTCCAGCAGCGGCTCCTCCAGATGGTGTCAGGATCATTCCAGGACGGGTGCCTGTGTCCCTTCTCCCCCTCGATCTCCGTCGGCGGCTGCAAAGGAGCGGGCCGGCTCCGCCCCCTGACCTCGTCCTCTTCTGCTTCCTCCTTCTGGCCTTCACCTGGATACCGGCACACTGACAGCGGGCCCCGCCCCTCACGTGCCCTGAGCGCACTCCGGGGATCCGCCCACCACTCTGCTCTCCTGTGCAGCCGGTCCCTCAGCCATGGGGCCCTGCCCCTGTATATATGTGGCCCACGGGCCATAGTTTGAGGACCCCTGATGTACAGTTTCGGAATCTGCCTTCTGTACATGAGGCAGTATTACACTGCAATACTTATATTTCCCTTCAACAATTGTATACTGTTTTTAAGGAAATCTTCTCACTTGGCTTTCATGCATGTGTTCCATACTTTCTAAGCCACTGTCCTTGAACAAGTATATAGATCAGATGTTTTGTCTGCATTTGACTTCATTTGTTTCCCGGTTGTTCTAAATCCATAAGTCAAATATTGAAGCCAAAATCAGCCAAGGGACTAGCATTTTTAAAACCCTGCATTACATATTTTACATATCTTAATACAGGTTTCCTTTAAAAAAAAACTCTGTTGCAAAAAATAAGGTCTGTTGTAAAATAATGTTTGTAAAGGAATTGCTATAATATTTATTGTTCCTATCACTGGGGACTCTTGCCTTTGGTTTCTTACAGATCACTGGTCACTACAGGTTCGTTAGAAGCCTGTGCATTGCTGTGACAGCCGCTAGCCGCTAAATCACTGTAGGGACAAATTAGTGACATAGAAGCCAACAGGACAGCCACAGTCTGTAGCAGAAGGGCATTCCAAAACACTTGAAAGATGCCAAAGATTCCAGTGGTTGGTTTAGCTATGCAAGACAGCAAGACTGGTGTCACGTGTGGCAAGACTACTAAGTAATAATCACTGTTGTTTTACAGGCTGCTTAAAAAAATAGCAATAGTAACTTTAAGTCTGTTACAGAGCTGGCTACAAAGTATTTGCAACAAATACGGCCTAGAGACAAAGCATAATGCACCCTATAATTAATTCTCCATACCACACAGAATAGTTTTAGTTTACACAGTTGACTGCAATCTAAACTATGTAAACCCATACATTGCTCGCCCCTTTATGCAGTAATTGACTGTGCTGGGTCCCAATCACTTTAATGCTGTAGATGTGGTTATTCAAGTAAAACGGTTAACACTTGATTGCTCCTCCAGTATAATTGGAGCCAGTCTTATATTTTTATAATCTTTATAATCTGTCCAAATGGATGATGTTGTTAAACTAGGAGGAATAACTTCCATTGCACTGTGCATTAATTCACATTTAATAAGATCATGGCCATTGCAGAAAAGAAAGGCTTATTCCAATCAACTGAAATCTAAAAGCTGATTCATATTATGTCAATTCATTTCAAGGTTCGTATTCAGTATCAGAGGCCATTACCACAACAGCCCAGTTTTTTTAACAGTGTAATTGCAATCAGTAATAGGCATAAACATCATTTTATAGTGTTTCATTAATAAAAGTTCACACATATTGCTCAGAGGTCAGCTAAAAAGTTTTTAGGTTGCAAAGATAATGCAATAACTAAGCCAAAGTTGACAGCCTATTTTTACCAATATTCAATTTATGTGGCTTTGACACTGTCAAAGCATTATTATTTGAATTTTAATTTTACAATATAATATATTTCATTTAAAGGTATCATACTTTGCCATAGTTTTAACTGGGGCTTTATGGTCAAATATTCCTAAATATTATATCAGCAGTAATACAGCTGTTAATCAGGCTACTCATGCTTGAAAGGTCTCTGATTAGGACAGGGGCAAAAAAAGGATGCCCCTTTCCTCCAGGCTGGGGTTTGGATATGGGGCTAACAACCCCTTTTTGCAAAAATCATTAGCATTTTATTGGAATTATACACAATGACAAATTGCTATGTTTTTTCCTCAACAAATATTGTGTGTCCTCACAGTATTTATACAGGAAAAAAATATTTTCTTTGCAATATCAACTTACTTTCTGCATTTAAAAAATAATTTTGTTAAGTAATAGATAGCTAGTAGCCTTAATAAATTTGCTGTTCTTCTATTCATTTCTGGGGCTCCCAAATCTTTATCCTTGCCTTCCACCGCTGTGATTATTACTACCATGGTTTAATTAATTCAGAATGAACTGGTCAAAATCAACAGAGTAAACAGCGCCATCAATTCTCACCGGCTGTGGGGTGGGTGTTTTCTCTTCATTGCTTTCATTCTCTTCTGTATGTTGAGTTGCCGCAGTACTGCCAGGTCTTGATGAAGGCTTGCTGTTTCTCTGGCTTCCACCTGAGCCATTCCTCCCTTTCTTTGTTCCATTTGACAAAACCTGGCTTTTGCTTGCTGTTATAAGAGATATTAGTTTATAAAAATGTCAGTATGTGGGGAGAAGTCAGTAGTTTAAGCAAACAACATCACTCCCATGTCAAAGTGCTGGATTCTGGAGCACAGACTTTCTTTCCTCTGGATATAAATAGAATAAATAGTATAGGGATCTAATTTATTCATGAGATCTTAGCTAAATGCTCAGCAAAATTTTAATTTTGTTATTTTAAGTTTAATTGATGGCTGCCTTATATACTGTATATTTGAGGGTATGAAGTTCAATGATAAGCTTCACTTATATGTTCACTTTTAGTTGCTTAAATTTATCAATGAACGTATTTTATTAAACATGTTTGATAAGTGCAAAAATACTTGCTTATCCTTTCAGAAATCTTGTGAACTGATACCTTCCTGTACTCTCTGCCTCTGCTGCATTTTCATCACTTTCCAGCTATCTCTGAGGACTACAGAACCCTTCTCTCTTGTTATGGAGAAGAGGAGAGGGGAAGGTGTTTGTAGTCAGCTTCTCCATACAGTGAAGGAAATAAGTATTTGGCCCCCTGCTGATTTTGAATGTTTGCCCACTCACAAATAAATGATCATTCTAAAAATAGAATGGTAGGTGTATTGTAACACTGAGAGACAGAATAGCAACAAAAAATGCAAAAGAAATGCATGTCTAACAAATTATGCACTGATTTGCATGTTAATGAGGGAAATAAGTATTTGATCCCCTATCATTCAGCAGGATTTCTGGCTACCAGGTGTCTTTCATACAGGTAACAAGCTGAGATTAGAAGCAGTCTCTTAAAGGGACTGCTGCTAATCTCATTTTGTTACCTGTATAAAAGACACCTGTCCACAGGAGCAATCAAACAATCAGATTCCAAACTCTCCACCATGGCAAAGACCAAAGAGCTGTTCAAGGATGTCAGGGACAAGACTGTAGACCTACACAAGGCTAGACTGGGCTACAAAACTATCGCCAAGCAGCTTGGTGAGAAGGTGACAACAGTTGGTGTAATCATTTGCAAATGGAAGAAACACAAAACAACTGTCAGTCTTCCTAGGTCTGGTGCATCATGCAAGATCTCACCTCGTGGAGTGTCAGTGATCATGAGAACAGTGAGGAATCATCCCAGAACTACATGTGAGGATCTTGTCAATGATCTCCAGGCAGCTGGGACCACAGTCACCAAGAAAACAGTTGGCAACACACTACGCCGACAAGGATTGAAATCCTGCAGTGCCTGCAAGGTCCTTCTGCTCAAGAAAGCACATGTTCAGGCCTCTCTGAAGTTTGCCACTGAACATCTGCATGATGCAGAGGAGGACTGGTTAAAAGTGTTTGTGGACTGGTTAAAAGTGTTGTGGAGTTGATGCTCTTTGGCATCAACTCCACTCGCCGTGTTTGGAGGAGGAGGAATGCTGCCTATGACCCCAAGAACACCATCCCAACTGTCAAACATGGTGGTGGAAACATTCTGGTTTGGGGATGTTTTTCTGCTAAGGGGACAGGACAACTGCACTGCATCAAAAGGGCCGATGGACGGGGCAATGTACCCGTCATATCTTGGGTAAGAACCTTCTTCCCTCAGCCAGGGCATTGAAAATGGGTCATGGATGGGTGTTCCAGCATGACACTGACCCAAAACACATGGCCAAGGCAACAAAGGAGTGGCTCAAGAAGAAGCACATTAAGGTCCTGGAATGGCCTAGCCAGTCTCCAGACCTTAATCTGATTGAAAATCTGTGAAGGGAGCTGAAAGTTCGCGTTGCCAAACGGCAGCCACCAAGCCTTAAAGACTTGGAGAGGATCTGCCAAGAGGAATGGGCCAAAATCT